TAATGTGTTAAAACAGAGTAAACATGGCTGAGTTATGAAAACACTAGAATATAGCATGATCGAGTACAGGTATTAAGTCAAAACAGTGAGAAAATATCAGTAAAAATCCCCTGAGGCAAATAGTTGGCACGAGGCCCAAATATGACATTCAGCCCAAAACATGATGATAACAAATAGTTTTCAATCAAATACGCGGTAAAACAGTCATTCGGGATGGACTAAGTCACAATCCCCAACAGTGAACGACCCCACGCTCGTCATCTAGCGTGTGCATCACCTCAATATAGGAACACGATGTGCAATCCGGGGTTTCATACCCTCAGGACAATATTTACAATTATTACTCACCCGGTCCAAATCTCTAGCTCGCGATGCCTTTGCCCCTTGAATCGGCCTCCGGATTCTCCAAATTTAACCTAAATCACTTCGAAACCATCAAAATATGCTAAGGGAAAAAAACCCACTCGAAACAAATCAAATTACAACACAAATCCCGAAATTGGCCAAACCTGACCCCCGGGCCCACATCTCGGATTCCGATAAAATTTACATCAATGGACTCCTTATTACTCCCCGAGTTCATTTATACCAAAAGTATCAAAATCCAACAACAAACGACCCCTCAAATCCCAAATTCTAGGTTTCCAATTATAAGCCCAAGTCCTTCAATATTAGGCTTAATTTCCATAATTAATTAGGTAGAATTCACATTAGAATCGAGTATTAAGTCCATAAATCTTACCTCCAAGTGTTTACCCTTGAATCACTCTTCAATCCTCTTCAAAAAGCTCCAAAATAGCTCCAAAATAGAGGAAGTTAACCCCAAAATCGCGGACAAGATGACTATTTAAACATTCTGCCCAGGACTCAATTCTTTCTTCGCGAACGCGGTCAATGCCTCGCATTCGCGAAGCACAATATAACTTTGACCAAAATTACTTCTTCGCGATCGCGAACGCAAAGGCATAGCTCCCTAACTCATCGTGATCGCAACTCCCCTTCCACGAACGCGAAGCACAAACCAATCTGAACCTCAGCTGCTCAACTCCCTCTATGCGAATACGGCTCCACCTCGCGAACGCGATGCACATCATTCCAGCCCTTCGCGAACGCGTAGCCTTCCTCGCGAATGCGAAGGCTAAATCCTCAGCCTCCTCAACTAACCCTTCGCGAACGCGAGGGCCTACTCGCGAACGCTAAGGCCATTTCTCTGCAACACTGAGCATCAATTTTCTACAACTCTCAACATCTAGAAATGATCCGATTGGCCACCCGAAACTCACCCGAGGCCCCCGGGACACCAATCAAACATGCCAACATATCTCATAACATCATTCAAACTTGTTCCAATCTTCGAAATGCTCAAAACAACATCAAAACACCAAATTCACATCGAATTCAAGCCTAAAAATTCCAAAATCTTCTAAATTACGCTTTTGATAAAAAACCCAACCAAACCACGTCCGAATGACTTGAAATTTTGTAAACATATCCCAAATGACACAACGGAACTACTGCAACTCTCGGAATTCCATTATGACCCTTATATCAAAATCTCACCTATCAACCGGAAAACGCCAAAAATCCAATTTCGTCAATTCAAGCCTAAATTTACTCCGGACCTCCAAAACACATTCCGATCACGCTCCTAAATCCTAAATCACCTCCCGAAGATATCCGAACCATCAGAACTCACATCCGAGCCTTCTAACACTTAAGTCAACCTCCGGTTGATTTTTTCCAACTTAAGCTTCCTCAAAAGAGACTAAATGTCTCAAACCTTACCAAATCCTTTTCGAACCCGAGCCAACCAACCCGATCACATATAGAATCGATAGACAAAGCAATAAGAATCAGAAATGGGGGAAACAGAGTGGTATCTTATGAGATGACTATCCGGGTCGTCACAATTAGCATAATAGTTGAATTCTTTATCGCTAAAAGAATGTTGTCGGATGAAATTATGTATAGCCATGGTAGTTGTAACTAGATAATTTTGAGTGTCAAACTTGAAAGATGGCACTGAGCGTAAAATAAAAATAATTTTAAATATATAAAAAAATCGTAAAAGAAATAGTTAAGTATATTTAAATTCTTATTCAAAAAGAGTAACTAATTATTAACGACACATAATGTATAATTTTTTTAAAATTTAAATTTAAAAAGAAACTAATTATTACCTAACCTTACTAACTTTGTCCTAAAATGCCAAGTGACCTATTGTGAGAATGCCACTTGATTAAATATGGATGCATTTTTTTTTCTTTTAATAATATATAGATAGATAATATATAGATAGATTATGCAATGCAATTGTAAATTTATTACCTATTTGTAGGTCATTTTCACAAATCAGATTTGACAACTGTTTTAAAGATTTAGGAACTAATAACATATAATAGAAGAAATTATAAATAATTATTCGTAGAAAGAGAATTGATAATCCAAAGAAGATACAGATAATTTTCTTTAGTGTGAAAAAAGAAGATAATTTGGAAAGTTACGAGACATTACACAAAGAAAAGATCAAAAACAAGAAAAGTCAATAAAAATTTTGAAAAGTTACAATATGATTCATATATATGATATCTTTAATTTTAATAGGATGGTAAAAACTAGAAACAAAAATGAAAAGAAAAAACTTAAACTAGTAAGGGATAATTTGAAAAATATAAATTTATGGTGAGGATAGTTTTGTCTTGAACAAATTAATCTTTTACTTCTGCTTCTGCTTCTTGGAAGAAGCTAGAATTTTCTGTTTCTTTCCAAAAGCAGAAAAACTGCTTCTGTTGCTGGCAAAAGGTACTTTCTGTATTGGCCAAACAACTCAAATTTTTTAAAAAGCACTTTTTTGTAGGGAAAAAAGTACTTTTGACCTCCTAGAAGCTTGACCAAACAGACTCTTAGTTTCAATAGAAGTAGCATTATAAGTTTGAGAATTAGGAATTTGAGTTTTATTACTTGTTGGCTTATAATTGTTTCATAATTCCAAGCTGAAGAAAAAAATTAATGCTTTATTATTTTTAAACTTAATATATAAATATATTTTTTATATTGTAAATTTATTCGGTACGGTTTGATATTTTTCGGTTTATTTTATAAAATAAAAGACCTACCCTATTATCGGTACGGTTATAGATATATATAAAAACTTACGATTTTAGTAAAAGAAAACTAAAAATCGATTCGGTACGGTTCGGTCGGTTCTTAAATATACACTTCTGCTGATTATGCATTTGTACACGGTGTCTTAATCTCTTCTATTGCTGTAATTTTAATATCTTACCGTATCAGCTTGAGATTCAAGTACATTTGCATAATTATACAGAGACTGAGAGGCATGTTAGGTCAATCAATAATTATAAGTATGAATTCGGAAACAGTAGAAATGAAGTTATCAGGTACAAACTGGGGACAGAATTTACTCAAGGAACATTTCACTTTTTAAATCACACAACCATTCTTCCCCGGACCACAACCCAAAACCTTTAAAAAGAAGAAGACAATAACCAAAACAGGAAATACTTAGTAAGAAACGCAGTACTTTCCTCGTATAATCTCTTGGTTGTACATATAACAAAAATTGTCTAAACTAATGTTTAATTTTTGGACAAATATCACTTTTAGCCCACGGCCGAAATTATTTATATTTGGTAGCCGTAAAAGTGTATAAAATTTATATATATATATATATATATATATATATATATATCACACCAAAAAAACAAAAAATACAAAAAATATATAATTTTTCGGCTATTGTTTTGAGAGCGGCTATACAATATCATTTCCCTTTATTTTTTAAAGTATAATTATGTATAACCAACGTATAACCTATGTATACCTGCTATGAAAAATAAACTGTGAATGTGACCGGTTATTTGATTGGAACGTCTTACCTTTTAATGTTTCCGTATGGACTGATTATCTCCTTGATCATGGTACTCTAATTGTTCAGCAATCAACAATTTAAATGCCTGTTAATATAACAACCAATACTTTCTAATTATATGCATTCAAGAAGTGATTTTGACATTTTATGTAGCCAAGAAGAATTGAGCCCATATACCCCTCACATTTTCTCATGGTTATTGTAAGTGACGGCTGAGAAAGATGATGCATAAGAAATCTGCATAAATCAGTGAGAACATAAAGTTGAAACATAGACGCACAACTACTTATTAATTAACTTAGGACCAGAACCAGTAGAGTCTTAATAGTAAGAGGGTGTTTGGCTAAGCTTATAAGCCGGTCAAATTAGCTTATAATCACTTTTTGACTTATCTATGACTATGCGTTTGGTAAAATTAAAAGTGATTATAAGTTAATTGCTTATAAGTCAAAAATAAGTCAAAAGTCATCAGTTGTTCTCCTCCAACTTATCAAATTTGAGCTTATAAGCACTTTAAGTTTGACCAAAATATTTACTACTCTATCCTAAAATACTCTTTTTTAAAACAAAACTCTTCGTATTTCAGCACTTTTATCCAAAGACGTAACTGCTTATTTTTTAAATCAGTTTCAGCACTTAAAAGTGCTTTTCAGCCTCTAATGCTTATCAGCTACTCTAAATCAGCTAAGCCAAACGGGCTCTAAATCTTCATCACACATATGACCCAAATATTAATCTACTAAGAATTAACTTAAATAGTCGCCCACTCAACCTCTTAAATTAAAGTAATTAATGAATATATAATATATGTATAATCCATGTATAATTATGTATAACCAGTATATAATCCAAGTATACAATCTATAAAAGGGAAACAGTGAATCTGACAAGCTTTTTGTGCAAACAAAAAATTAAACTAAAGTATTTGAAAAACAAAAAAATATATCAATTAGAAATAGTTGTTTCATGACAAACAATTTACGACGGCATTCATGATGTACAAGCATTGAATTGATGAACATGTTCCCACGTGTGAATTCAACGCATTCACATGGCGGTAACACGTGCGAGCCAATTCACAACCCAAAAAAAGAAAAAGAAGAAGAAGTTAGCTAGGTTTTGATGGCGGTGACGACTGTGGTTGGAGAAGAAGAGGAGAAGATTTCCCATTATTACAAATCTCCATAAAAGCTTGAATAATAATATCATGGTGAGAAGGAGAATTCAGCTCCAAAAAACAGTTCAAAAGCTCATGCAAATCATCTTGTTTGTATATTTCCTTCTCCAAAATCATTTGCAACATAGATTGCCGGAAATCCTGAAAAGGGTCGTCGGAATTCTTGACGACGGCGACACTTCCGACGATTTTAGGACAAGGGCTGACCATTTTGGAATCATGTGGAGATAATGAATCAGTGTTGATGGAAAATGTAGTGGAAGTTATTTGATCTTCCTCTTCATTATTATTATCATAATCTATGGAATTTGAAGAAGATTGAGAAATAGTGGTGTGTGGATTTGTTTTAATGGTGGTTTTGGGTTTTGGTTTAGGATCTGGTTGTATAATATCGGATAACTTGGGTTTGCCACAACCACATCCTGTTCCAGTGGAGGTGATGAATAGTTTGGTGCAGTTCCATTTTTTCTTGTTTTTTGAAGACATTTGAGGATGTTATTTGGAAGAGGAGAAAAGAACTAAAAGGAAGCTATAAAGAAGGGAAAATTTTAGTTGAAGTGATAATTATATTGTTGTTGTGTATTTAATTTTCAAACTTCGTTATCTTTGGTCTAGTTG